ATAAAAACTCCCGCTGCTGCACTCGTATATCACGAAAATATGTCGACTCCAAGCCAACAGAATTCACTTCACTTTATACGATTTGCTGTCACATATTCAATGCTGCACCATTTGCCTTGCAGTCCCTGGGCGACAAAGCTGAACCGGAAGTGCTAGATGAAAACAGAGAAATAAATATGGAATAGTGCTAAAATATAGAGAGGTGGAGAGGCGTGGGAGGGGAGCATAAACACATATTGCCAATGGGATATTCAATTTTTTATTCTTATACTCTTTCACATAAGTGAAATAAGTATATTGGTTTTGTGCAATATCGTTCTTGCATATTAGGAATATTTATAGGTCCATTAAATGAGTACGTTATAATCGATAAAAAGATATAGTCGAAAAACCAAAATGACCGTGAAGCTTTATAATTTTTCGAATTTATAATAAAACTAACCTGATGTCAGATCTGCTACAAATATTAAAGATATCATTATCATTCCAAATGCAACACGTATTCAAAACTCTTACTACTCACAATAGATAACAAACATCCTTAGATAAGGATACCCCCAATCAGAAAAACTCTACTTCAGCCTAAATATCCAAAAATTCCATTACATCCCAGCCAATGTCATCTATCCACTACAGATCCCAAGCTCTGCCTCAACCACAGACAGAACAACGCCAACTACAACTATGTATTAACAACAGATCCCAAACACTGCACTGGCAAAAACCCTTTTCTAGTCAAAGGAAAAGCTGCTTAAGAGGAATATCGTGTATATAGATGTTATCTTCAGACTTGTCTTCATTAACACACTTCGCACCTTTTACCTGGGCACGCTCTTGTACAGGGTATATGCCCTGTCGTCGGCCATAGCTAAATGGCCACCGGAAGTGGCATAATTCAGGAGCGGAAATGTCTGATTTGATTGTATTTAGCACCAATGGCGGCCGAACGGCGACCGCCTAATGAGCAACTTTTAGCTCGCAATTAGCCGTCCGAGAATTAGGCACGGTCAGCCGGCCAGCTGTATTGGCCTTGGCATATGCCGGCCAGCCGCCTGAGCCGGGTTGTCCGGTCTGTCCCGTTCTGGCCCGGCATGCGGTTTGGCGCATTCCATTTCACTTTTATTATTCATTCAGCAAAAGAGAAAAAAGTGAGCAAACTTTTTAATGCGCAGCAAATGGCTGAAAGCCGTTGCCAGGCCACAAATGTTAATCAGGTCTAAGGCGACAGTCGTATGCTCTATGAGAGCTGGTGCAACGAATGTACTATTGAAATTAACTGCAATATAAGTATATATATTTCTATGGGCTTTACTTAAATTGCTGTGGATTCAAAATCTAGCAAGTTGCATTCACAATAATATGAATAAATGGGCTCAATATCTTCTGAAATAATAAATCAAATGGCTTAAAGAAAAAACAATTTAAATATGTTACTGTTTTAAAAAAATTGACAAACTTTTTATTAATTACAAATAAAAAAAATTTATAATTTTATTATCTTTAAATTTTATGTG